GGACGTCTTCGAAGACGACGTCGACGTCTTCGTCGTCGGAATCGGCGCCTTCGTCGCCGCGAGCGAGGCCCAACCCGGCTCGCGGGTTTCGCAAAGGCACCTTCTAGAAATAGAACGCCTAAATAATTTGCCTCGGATTACCAGCGACGCCGCCGGATCTCTCTCTCTCTCTCTCTCTCCCTCTCTCCCGCTCTCATCTCCTCCTATTTCTCACTATCGGACATTACTAATTTCCTTCGGTTGTACATTTTCTCAATTTTTCAAACGAGCTCTTTGATCTACCGTCCAAAGTTCTCGCGTGATTCAAGTCCAGGGGAACTTTTGTAGAGTTGGCACAAGGCATGTACTTTCGCAATTTCAAATGAAATAATTTATCTCGCACCAGAGGATGCTACCGACCGAAGCAAGGAAAAGGTGTTTTAGGTGTATTATGTGACGAAACCGAATGCAATGTGTCGTTATTGAAGATATCAAGATAAATTATTCATCACGACTCGCTCATGTTCGAATGTTGGACTTTTCGACGAGGAAAAGATTTTACGAAAGTCAAATCGAAATGAGTCAAAGTCAAATCGAATTGAAAGTTAATGAAGAATTAATCTTTTATCAATCTTTAATTAATCTAATTTTTATTTTGCATTTGCTACTGAGATAAGATAGTCAACGAAAAACGAAAGTCAATATGAGCCAAAATGCAAAATTTCATTTGCGTAACCTATTGTAAAAGTCAATTAAGACAGAGAATGTAGCACTCCAAACGGACTTTTATAAAAATTGCCCAGATGTTTCAGTCGTCATTTCGACTCTTTTCAGTGGGCAGAAAGAATATTACCGAATATTACGAAAATAGAATTTTTTTACTACGAGCATGTCGTCCTTATGAAACAGGAATCCCGGGAACTCACTCTAATCTTCAAGATCGATATAATCGTCAAGATTAAACTTTCTTCAATCCTTCTGACTTTCTTTCTTCCGGTTGATTGTGTATCAAAGAAGCTTAGTTTAGTCGGCCGTTTAGTTGATTTTTCCACTCTAATTCTCCGAGGACTTCGAAATCGCTATGACAACGAGAGCAAGAAATACTCCGTATACATTTTGTATCCGACTTGTCATGCTGTCAGTTTGTAATTTTTCAGTAAGAACCCGGAGGCAGTGTTCTCGGTTAAAAATCCGCGGGGTTAAAGGGTCGGAGTATGCCACATTTGCCGGCGGCTGTTGAACAGCTTTATCCGCAATCGGCGCTTCGAACTTGGCCTTCTTCGTAGCACCACGTGGTCCGTTTATTTTACGAGGCCGCGCAAATACGGCGGCGTCCGGCCGCCCCCGGTTTTCTCAGAAAGGAGAGAAATATGAGTCCGGCAGTGTCAAAACGCGTCCCGCCCTTCGCACGACCTTTCCTCGCTGAAAGACGATCGTCTTCCGATCTTCGCTCCGGTCGGATAGCAAAATCCCGTGTACCCATGTTAAGTTAGCCCCGTGTTTTTAGAAATTTGCCAGAAAAATTATCCGGGTTCCGTTTGTCCACCGGCGTAGAATTCTACTTTCCGATCGATTTTAAAAATAGCTCTGACGTTTACAGTCCTGCGACAACTCGCGCATCTTGTCGGATTCGCGTCTCGAGATTAAAATCCGCGATATCGTCTGAGCGTGCGACGAGAGGAAATCCGAGGAGGAATCGGCCGAATTCAAATGACTTTCCACTTAAATGCGTTTTGTGGAGAACTTACAGGTACAACGTACTCGCAAATGCAAAGAAAATTCCGAGATCTCCTGTTATCAGATTCACAAAGGCAATCGAAACTCGCATCGTTCCTTCGATGCTGTTTCCTCATCGCGATTATCTTAATTAATCGACGTCAGAAGCGAGGAAATACATACTCAAAATTGTTGCAAAATACGTTGAAACGGCGAGATATGTCCGTGAAGTGACATTTGTGATATCGAATTGAATATAAAATTTATAAGACACTTCGAAAACGCTTTCACTTTGCTCGAATAATCAATAAATAACCATATAATTAATGATATACAATTAACGTGACAATATTAATTGAAAGATCACGTATCACGTTAAATTTATGACTATTATCGGAGCAAACGGACAGTATTTCAGAATATTTCACAAACCTGCACAATCGAGTCGCAAGTGTCTTCGCACTTTTCGGACGTATCATTTTACTTCAATTTCTGCAATCAATTTCAACATCTCGCGAGAATTTCGAGCCGGTGCGTTTTCTCGCCTCTGACGTCATCAGTCAAGATGACGGGGGAATCAAGAGCCTCGAGTAAAAGAAGAAAAGTTATAAATTCTTATTCTTCGTTTTTCAAGTGTGGAGAAAAATAGCATCTCCTTGTGAAGACTTTACGGCAGATATATCTCTATGTAAACGTCAGATGTGCCGCGCGACCTTTTCGTAAATACACACATCGGGCGTGTATTCGAGCGTGTAAACATTGCGGGCACGACGCGGTCCAAGAAAGATAACGCGCATAATAATTCGAACTTTCGAGAGCTCCGGCGAAGGTAGACGACGATACAGCGGGTGACACGCCGTCGTCAACAAGCGGTCCCCGAGAATTTACGAACGACTTGGGGGACAAACATCAGCAACAATTTTGTGACAGTTCTCGCGCGAGCAGCGAAACCCTGGACGATGATCGTCGCGTCGTCGGCGCGACATTGGCACTCGCTGACAACGCGCGTCTTATAATAGCTTATGGCTTTATAATGACACGTAATCGCGCGGACGCGCGAAGAAAGCGCGGGGAAAATCGCGGGACACCCCGCGCTCTCTCTTCGTTCGCCAAAAGCTTCTCGTGTTACAGCGTCAAGCATCGCCAAAATACGGCGACGGTGGCGGCGGAGGCGGTCGCTCTCGCAGCGGCTGCGGCGAGTTGGACGTTTCGCACGTAGTTGGCAGCGTTTTCTGCCGATGCGCGTGAAATAATTTGGCGTTTGCCACCGGATTACGTAATGCCCCGTTGCGTCTTTATAGATCGTAATAACAAAACACGCCCCGCTCGTGGTCGCCCCCGTCGGCGAAAAGCGCCAAGGAAAATTCGCGTTGCAAAGGAAAATCCGTGTTTTCATCCGGGGATTCTTTTCTTGTACTCTCCGTCGCGTATTGCCTGAATTTGATCATTTTCTCACGGCGATGTGTGTGTCGATAGTGCGAAGTGATGATGGAAGGCTCGTTGAGTGAACGTAAATCGGAAAAGAAGCGAGATAATAGAGATCGATGAAAATTTATCTTTTTTCTCAGAATAGGTTCAATATCTGAAGATTTAGAAAGATCGTCATCGGCAAACTGTAGAGAGCTATTTCGATATGTCTTCTGTTTTGGTGCCAAATACATTCGGATCGTATGTTGCATGTCATTTTATTTGATGTAACGCGTTCATATGAATGCAACATATGCCTGATATTTAATAGATATTTTATAAAACGGAAAAAAATTTTGTTTTCTATAGTTTTTACTTTTTCCATAATTAATAATTTTTTAGATTCATACGTTAAGAAAAAGTAGCACATATTATGGAGCACTAGCACGTGTTATTTCTCCCTCTCTCTCTCTCTCTCTCTCTGTCGAGTATCAACTTCAGTCTTTGATATAGATTTCATTTCCGAGGACGAGAGGCGAGATCTCATTTACGTTTCACTTTCATCTCGCTCTTGCTCAGCGCTCGTTATCATTATCCCACTTCCGCGTACCCCAGATTCGTGGACTTAAGTTGTGCCGTTCACACACACAGTGACGATATAACAACCAACTTACAGAATACAAATGTAAATTACCGTTACCATTTCGAAAAGTGGAGTAATTAATGAAACGATCGAATAACAAGAAATTATCACTTATTCGCAAATGGGCGAAACATTTGTATCGACGGCTGTCAGACGGGAGAATCGATTGATCTCTGGGCTCTCAATGAAAATTGATTCCGCATGATTGATTAGACGTAACAATTGATATCTCGTGAGTGGCACGCGAACGGAAGACGTGAGGTCGAGAAAGGTAAATCGAGCGAATTGTTTCGACTATTTCACCGTGACATCGTGGTTAATTCTCTCAGCCGAACTATTCGACTATCGAGAGGCGTCGTGGAAGCGAATGGCTAGGAACCGTAGATGAAAATAGCCATATAAAACATCGCTATATATAAACGGTCGCAAGAAATATTTTTACTACCGCGCTCCTGCCTCAGTCAACCTACGATCCGCCTCGGGCGGATGTTTGAAGGCGCTCTTCTTTCACAAATCGAACCTCTATCTTCACGATACTCGAATCTATGTCGAGATGTGATGCGATAATCAAGATAAATGAATGAAATGGAGTGTCGTTAAAGAATTAAGATAGAGGCAAGCGGAAGAAGTCGTCGAAGAAATCCATTGATATGTCGACAAAGTCGCGCATTATCGAAGCTTTGGGTGAAAGAAAAAAAGAGGAAAAAAAACGATGAGAATGCATTTCTCGAGTCTTCTCTGTCACAACGTATCCCCCCGTATCACTTACGCGGTACGATTTGATAAACGAGGTGCACCTGCCGCGTTGGAAATCGCGCAAGCGTGGTCTATTTATCGCGACAATGACAACCTCGTTTTATATTAACGATGGATGAATAAAATAAATATTCCTCGAGCGCCTTTTCTATCTCAGACCATTGACGGCCATCGTCTGTCGCTCGTCCGTTTAATCCTTTAGTGACGATTTCACAGGTGGATTTCGCAGGACGATTTCACCGAGTTCCCGCCGCGAAATTTTCGAAAGAGATGCGTTTTCTCTCAGTGCACGATTGCAAATACTTTTCATATCGACGAATGCGAGATAAACCGTATTACGAGATAAACATGTCAGCGAAGCACGTTATCGGTGGTAGGGAGCCTCCTGAATTCTTATCGAGAGAGACAAAGTCCCCGGGCAGATAAATGTCAACGGAACGGAACGTGTCCCGAACGTGACAGAGCTAAGTTGAATAGTTGGACGAAACGCGGGACTCACCTTCTGCACGATGAGCGGCGTGCCGAAATCCTTGCCACCCTGCAGACGGAAGCCCCATGGGGACCCGTCGAACCTGGACAGCTTGACGCTGATCAGCTGTGCCATATCACTGGGATCTGAACTCCGCTCGACTGTACCGGAGCGAACGCGCGAACCGATCGGCCGGTCTCGATGATTACGATGATTCGACCGAGCGAAACGAGCCCTCGAGCACTCGAAACGCTACGCTGGTGAGGTAACGTCGCGACGCACGTTGCACCCACCGTTCGGGGCCAAACCGATCGACGCCGCTCGGGAGGCTTTTTCCGCGCTTTTACTCGCGCAAAAGGGAGGTATATGTGTCGCGTTTTCTCGCCGAACGTGGAACGTGGCGGGCACGTACGTTCCTGAAGAACGCGCAAACCGGAGTAAAGGTATAAGAGGCGCCGAGGACGGTCAGTCGGGCAGCGGGGCCTCGTCACGCGATTCGGGACGAAGAGGAGGAGTATGAGCGCGCGGAAGGAAAGGGAAGGAACGGAGGGAGACGGCGGGAGAAAGGAGGGAAATGCCACGACCGTGGTAGGAGGCAGGTGGCGGGGATAGAGAGGAAGAGAGACAAATTTATTGTGTTCTCTGGGTGGAATCTCCCCTCGAATAGCGGCGCATACCGATGTGACGAAATCTCATTGGGAGCGGATTTTTCAGTTTTTAATTGTATATATCTCGATAATCATTCTCACACTTGTGTACGGCACGTGTCGATTCTGGAATGCGTCCGAGTGAGACTGAGGAATAAAAAATGCTTGGTGTTTGTGACTACAAGCGCATAGTGAGATCCTTAGCCGAGACGTCCACTTTCGTAGCAAGCGCTGCTGTAATACTGTTAATAATAACACTTTATATATGAATGTTGTGCTAATAGTATTTTTTCATCGGAACAAAAAAAAATATCGAACCGAATGTAACCGAATGTAACTATAATTTTTGCCGTAATCATTTTTTCTCTCAGTGTAGTGAAATACAATATAAAATCAATCTCTCTTTCTCTCTCTCTGTCTATTCAAATATATACCTCTATTCTCGTTCTCTCTCGTGTAATATATAGTGGATTCCGGATTGCTCGGAATTAATTAATGTAAACTCGCGGACGAGTCTCGATTCGACTTTGCAAACTTCGTTGCGCCGGAGGTAATCGAGCGACGACCAACAAAGCCAGACAGACGGCGTACAAGTAGCAAGGACATAATTAGCGGTGAGAAGGAGGAGAGACGTAAACGCGTGCGTGCTCCTCTGTTGTGGTCACGAAGGAGCCTACGCGACATTCCTGACATTTCGCCCCGTCCTCTTCTTCCGAACCAGTCCTCCTCCCGCCCGTATCTTACTGCTGCACCCTCCGCCCCCGATTTCCACCGCCACTGTAAAGAGCACCTTGCACGGTACACCGGATGCACCGTGTGGACACGCTCGGTCGTGCAGTAGTTAGTCGCCGGAGAAGGCACAAGGATATCGTCCGGGAATTTAATTAATTGATAGCACGCCCGCGCGCCTTCTCACCCATCCCCTCGTCGATCTCTCTCTCTCTCTCTCTCCTTGTACCTACGGGCACTTTATCGACGTCGTACGATCTTTTCGGTCGCATTCCCCCGATTGTTTTTACCTCGGTTATATTCTAACGTGGACGGGAGTGCGGTGACCTTCCTTTGAGTCACACGAAAAAAAAATCGAAGTGATAAGAAGGAAGGTAAAAGAAGAAAGCACGAAAAAATACTCATGCGGGATATAAAAAAATCGTGGGAAAATTAATTGAAATCGTCGAAAATTTGATATCTTGCCTCAAGTAAAAGGTAATTCATGTCACGAAAATATTTCTCATATGAAATAGACAATAGACTGAGCGCACAGAAAGAAAAATGGTCTGAATTTTGGGTTCTCTCCCTTGGTATAACGCAGGTAGTATATTTTATATGTGTGTTTTTAAGATTAGTGACTGCCGTACATATGAAAAACCAGAAAAATACGTTAAGGAAATGGTCAGTGTGCTTTGGAGCTTCGGACAGAGCAGCAGTAATTTTCACATGGAGGCAATGGATAAGAAAGACAGCAGAGGCATTATTGAGCACGCAGGAGAGCGAATGAAACGATAATTTACAAGTAATCAGCACACTAGTGAATATTTTACATCATTTATAAATAATATAGAAGCCTTATTTCTGTAAATAGAAGAGACCAAAATCGGATTGATTGATCCAGGAGACAAGCGACTAACGCGTTTCGAGAGACGAAAACTGTTCAATGATCAAATCAATCACCGTCAATCGAACCGCAAAACTCGAATTTTTCGAGCAAGAGACGAAATATTATGTGACGCTAATATCGTTAATTAATTGTGATTAAATTTTATTATCATTACATTGCACGCAAAACTTTAAACGCACTTTTCTCGAAACCATGTTTTACAAAATGGCTGCCATAATATCTCACAAACTTATTAATCAATTCAGGAATAGGTGGCCAAAGTTAAACCTTGAAACGATGAATAGAATATGTTATTAATGTTCTGCTTATTTCTGAAACGTCCTATACATATTAGAACGCGTTGGCACATGACGAGATGAATCTCTGAAACACGTAGATGCATACTCCAAGTATTTCCTCCACCAGGATCGCGTCGCCTTTCGATGCGGCAGCAGGGCGGACCTTAGTCATCGTTGTCGATAGGTCGTAGGAGGTCATGAATGGAAACTCGTTAAATAAATTTCACCGCACTGTCGCATGCCTCCGTCGTTAAGTCTCAGCAATCAGACATGAATTTACCGAAATTGACGTGCGCCGACGACGTGCGTGAGTTATGCCGGCGAAAGAATCCCGATTCCCTTGATTTCCCTGCACGTAACGGAGGAAAAGATACTACGAATTCCTTCTCGCGCGAGGCAAGCGGAAAAACGACAGTGAACTTCGTTGATACGATCCAATCGCGATTCTAATCGGAATTCAAATTCGTTCTTTATAAGATTCTTTAGATCTACAATGTGAGGTGCTCTTACGATTATAATTCGATTAAAGTAAATTTGTTCACAGGAACTATTTCAATATATCAAATATCAAATATCATGTCATTGATAAATGGATGACATTTTAAGAGAATATTCGTTCGGTTCAAGCTGGAAAAGTTGATTTTTTTAATTTTATGTTAGTATTCCTGAAAATATGTTTGTAAAATGATTATGACAAAATTTGAAAGATTGACGAAGGTATGAAGATATTAAGTAGACCGCGCGTAGGAAGGGATAACCTGAATTTCAGATCCTCTGCAACGATTCCCTGGTATAAACCTCTGGTATATAAATATTGTACTTGTAGACATTATGCAGAAGCATCGTGTCCGTGTGTTTTTTTTAAGTTTGTTAGTAATTTACGATTAAAAAAAAAAACCGGAAAAGTACATTAGGAATGTTCAGTGTACCTTGGTTTCTCAAACGAAACAGTAGCATCCTTCACGTGGTAGTAATGAATGAGATATCAAGATTTAATCCTATCCTAAGAGAGAGAATCATGAAAACTAAGGAAATAATCAGTCGTCCAGGAAACACCGACTTATGTAAAGGAACAAAGACCGAGATATTCGAATACTTAAAAGGAAATACAATAAGAATGATTAGAACTCTAATATGAGTTACGGAATGCACGTGGAATATGGACGTCAAATTCGAAGTCAATCGGTCGATTAATTCGTGAAATATCGTGGCAACCTTTTTGCGAAACACAGTTTCGGAGATGTATCTAAAGTTTTGCAATTTTCAGTGTAATAATAACTCGCGTAATAATCAATCGCGCGTTATTTACATTTAATTAACGATATCGGGCCGATATAATATTTCCTCCTACTCGAGTTTTACAGCCCACTTTTTTCGCCCCTATGCCTGTATTTTGGCTCTCACTCTTACTAGTTAAAAATTAGGTCTGGTAACTAGATTTCAGTCGCGTTGGACAGCTAATGCCTTCTTTCCGTGTCATACGTCGCAGCTCGCGAGGGTCGAGTGCAGCAGGTAAGACGCTCCCACCGAATCCAGTTCCCCGGGTAGTCCAGCTACGATCAATTAGCGTGTAATCTGTCTGACGAGCCCGGAGAAAAGTCGCGGGAGGGACACGCTGCGCGCTTCGGCGGATGCACTCGAGCTCCTCTCGGCGCCGCCGAGCGCAGCGGCTGCATTCTGCGCCGGTGGCGGTCACGAGGGCGCGAACTAGTTCGTGAATCATGCCTAGAATGCTTTACATAAATTGCTCGGGGCCGACGTCACGATCGGGGACCCTAAGCGCGAGGAGCGAGAGAACGAGAGAGAGGAAGAAAGAAAGAGAGAGAGAGAGAGAGGGATAAAGGCCGAGAGAGAAAGAGAGAGAGAGAGAGAGTAGGAGGCGAGGGGAGAGGGAGAAAACGAACTAAGTTCACCGGCCGAGAAGGCGGCAGACGTGACTCAGCCAGTCGTACGCATACGAGACGCGGAGGATACAGCAGAGGCCTCGGGAACCCCGGAAAGGAGAAAGTATGCCCGACTCATCCGCGAGGGCCAGCCGCGGATTTCCGAGTGAGCGGGTGATCGCGGCCGTTTACTCGGAAACTTACCTTTCTAGGTCGGCCTCGATCATCGTGTACTTGAAGATGATCCGCCGGCGGTGATCCCCGTCGGCCAATTCGTCGCCGTGGCAGAAATGTAGCGGTGAATAGCGGGACGTCTCGAAAACTTCGCAATTACCGTATCTCACCGCTCGTGGCCAAACCGATGACGGGATCTTAGCGTCTGGCATCTGTACTGTGACGTAAAGAGGAGCGAGATGTTTGAGGCAGTCGCACGTAGCAAGTGACTTGTGTTAGTTCACGTGACCGCTTTGAAACAAAGTTCGCAACGTGCCCAGACTCTTTCTTTCGATCGGGTCGCGCGTCGGTCTCGGTATCGCGGAGCTGTCGTGCGTGGAAATTTCTAAGGTTGAGAAGTCACGCCATTACTCGTCGTTACTGTTGCAAATTACTTCTTTCAGCGACGACCCGGTAACGGTGTTACTTTTTGTCCGTTAGCAACGCAATTACACGTTTTGGATGTAACGGTGGAGAATGTGATCGTTACTTTCGTCTCGTTACTTTAGAATATACGCGCAGGGGATAAGCGGCGGTAAATCGTAAAAGGAAAAGATCTTCAAGACTGAGGGGAAAAAAATAGTAACGGAAATTGGAGTCTTTACTTGTCGAGTGGCAATAATGAGGTATAATGAGATATTTTATAAGACGAGTAACGGTAATAATAACAAATTACTTTTCAATAGGTGACTTTTAGAAAATAACTCTTCCGATCCTGGTTTCGCTTCGCTATCGGGTCGCTTTGTTCGTGTGCGGTGTTGCACGTCTTCGCGATCCGCCGCACGATCGGCCTTCGGTTCGCGATTTTCCGCACATGACTCACTAGTCTCGAAATAACGAAACTCGAATGACGAAGTTTATCGTAGCGCATGGTAGTGTTGATGTTCGAGTTTGCGAGCTTCGATTTTGTATTCGTAGATTCCGTCTCGCGGCAATCAAAATGTTTCACTGACGCCGTGCTATACTTCAACATTCACAAAAGATCGAGGGGATCAAGTTGTACTCTGCGAACATTTGAATAATGCGATGTCCGTATTGGGGGTACAATATTTGGTGCAATATTGTACGAATATGTGGGTGCAAAGTATCGTGCGATAGTTTTGGGATGTCCGATATAACGCCGATATTCGCTTTAGTTCAGACTGACCTTCATGCGAAAAATATGATTTCTCATGTCTTATCATAAGGTGTGCTTTATTGATGTGCGCAATGTGCCGCCGGGAAAATTTCTTCATTTTGAATACACACATACACGCGCGCATACGTGCTTCAAATTATTACAACCACAAATTCGACGATCGTACGATGATAATATTCTTCAGACGCAATCGGTATGCCAGGTGATCGTATATATTCGCCGTTTCCCCAAATCGTTCACACACGTGGATATCACGCGTGTAACTGTGACGTTACACATTGTGATCATCTGTGATCGCAGTTGCATCAGTGACTGACACTTCGAGTGCTCCTGTCATCTACAACGCTCAACGCCGGTGATTTCTGAAACAATGTTTCCGTTGAAAAGTTAATTACCGAGGTAATCTACAAATTTCTCTCAATTATAAATTTTTGCCATTAACTTTCGTTGATTAGAAAAATAAAATCTTCTTTCCCCATCATTTGATCGTAAGACTTAACCAACGGTAACGATTTTCTTAAGTGTTAAGTTACTTAGTTTCCAAGTGATTTGAGCGTTTTTTTATAGTTCCTAGAGTGTAAAGTTTTCTTAAACAATTAAAAAAATGCTTAAGAGCGGATGTTTTGGAGGGAGGAGAAAGTTTCGACGATTTTAGCGATTAGTTATCATCGTCCTCATTTTAACGAGACGATTAAGATTTAGATTCGACAAACTACGAAAGCTAACCAAGAGACGCTTACAACCCTCTCCATTATATCCTCCGCCGCGTTGACTTTAGCTGGTCTAGCAGGTATGCCCTTTTTTGGTTCTCGCTCCATTTTATGAATCATCTTGTAGACGCTCGAGTTCATCAGGTGGTCGAAGTTCGGCAAGTTCGTTTTCTCGTATTTCTTGAAGTTCACTCTACGCAATCGATCGATTCAATTAATTCAACTCGTGAAATTCCTTCATAACGAGGGATTCCGCGAGAATTCTGACGTATTTTGACGAACGAATTTGTATAATATTAAACTCTCGTGATCCACGATCAGTATTTTTGTGATTCTTACACGGTGGCGCAGGATCGTTGTGTTAGGTTCGAGAATCTTTTTGGCTCGGAATCGCAAAATTCGTTCTTACCCCAACGCTCTGCCGCGAATAACTTCCGCCTGCGAGGATAATACTTCCGCAATCATTTCGTCGTTGAAGAAGTCATTCGGGCATCTCCATCTACGGCCGCGCGTAAGTTCGAGCTGCTTAGCCTGGGGCCAGAGATCTTGCGGCTGCTTTCGGCCTTTCTTGCTCATTTTTTGCTAAAATGTAAATCGCGACGTTTTAATAACTACTTTCTTTGCGTTCGATCTCTCGCCATGCATCGGGTGCGAAATTTACAGAATTCACGAGCGGTGTGGATTCCCTCGGCATAACTAAGGGTCGATTTAAGATAGTGGAACGACATAAAGAAATTCGCAAAGTAAATTTTAATAATAACTACACTGAGAAACCCATTTAGTTGAATTAAGTAAATTCTCAAATAGAATTCTTGTTTGGGCAAATATTTTGGTTGCGTGGACCAAAAGTTCGGTTCTCTGAATTCCTTAAACCAAACTTTGGTTCTTATAATCAAAATATTTGTTTGCTCATGCCCGAACAAGGACTTTCTTTGAGTCAACTAAATAAGTATCTCAGTGTATCAGGATAACATATACAAGGTGGCAAAAGTCAACATTTGATGGGAGAAATCCCTACTAATTGAAAGAAGGTACTCTTGACACGCAATTTCGAAGACGGACGGATAAATTTGCAACGTCAAACCTGATTACCAGTAACCAAAGAGGGCAAAGAACAATCGCAAGTGCGGAACAAAGAAACTTCTAAACACTTAGACAAGGCTTCGGTGATACAGCTGCAGAAATCCGATTACGTCTTCCGTCATTTCCGGGTACACGTAACATAAACAAGGAGGTGATACGAGACAATGATAGTTATTTCATTCCAGGTGGAACACAAGACGCCGTATCATTCCGGGTACCTGCAGTTCCTGTATTACTTGATCTTTCGGTGATAGTTTAGGATCTGGTTCGATACTACCTATAATACAGTGTCATTACATTTCACAATATTCGACATTTCGCGTCCGCGAAGACGCGAAGAAAATGCGGTGGAAAATTTGCCGGAATTTCGACATCGCGAAATTCTATCGCGATATGTTACGACGCGAGCTCCTAGTATTATATATACCTCGGTCGCTCGGTTATCCGGGGGACAATTACCGCAGTCGAGAATATTTCAAGGCCGACGGGGGGTCAAGGGTCGATGTATAAACGTAAAGTAACGTTGACATTTACCGTGCGACGGTGCCGGGCTCGGCGACTTCAACAGCTTGGTCTCGTAAGAGACGATGAATTTCTTTACTCTACTTCCCTCTTCGTCCTCGCTCTTCACAGAAATCATCCCGTCCATTTCCTTCGTCTCGGCCTCCTCCTCCTCATCCTCCATTTCCCCCTCGTCGTCGCTGGGCTCGATCACTTGCGGCGTTGACCTCGACGACGTCTTCCGCTCCAAGCATGCAATTTCCTCGATGTAGTCGTAAGTCTCCGTAAATTCTTCGTCCGCCTCGTCGGTGTCCTCTTCCTGCTCCTTCCGCTCTTCGTCGTTCGCCCTTCGTCGCGCGTTATCTTCTTCTGAATGAAACGGACGTCGAGAGATTATACGAGGAGGAAAATATCTCAGAATCTCAGAACATTCTAACTCAGAATCTACTGTATAAATTTTAATCTAACTTGTATAGCATTTTTTCACTCATTTAACGTAGATTGAATATAAATGAGGTTGCAATTTTTACAAAAGGAAGAGGCAGTTATGTGAAATGTCAAGAGTAATGATTCGGTGAAAATTAAAAATAACCCTAACCAAATTAAAAACGTATCTGTGATTATTTCTGTATTAAATGTCCCGACTTATCATTAAAAAAATAATATCGAAAGAGAATATTTATGTACATAAAAAAAGCGGAGCAAAAGCAATTAACAGTTGCATCAGAACAAAATTAACAAAAATTCTCCCAGATCCTTGCATTATTATTATTATTATTATTATTATTATCTCTGAATTTTTTCGTGTTCGGAAACTAGACTCTCGCTCTCCGCCACGACGTCAGTCGCGAATATTCTTCGCGATCTCGGCTCGTCGATTATAGCCGAGGAATTTAATCTCAGCCTGTGGGAGACCGACTTGCCCACGCGCGCGTGCGTGCAAATTGGCAGCCGTTCAGAATCGCGTAACGATGAAACTCGAAAATATGCCGGTCCCCACTAAGAGAGAGAGAGAGAGAGATGTTCGTCAAGGTCCACCCCCCGGCGTTGGCTATTTCGACTACGACGAATCTCGGTCACCTGACGAGTCATCGCGGCGTTGCTGGCCGTTGCTTCCGTTGCCAAGGGATCGTACGCCGCTCAGCTCCATGATCGCGTGCAGTTGCTCGGACACGATCCTCAGGTGATTCTCGATCTCGCTCGGTAGCCGCTTCAGAGCGAGCAACTGCCGCTGCACGTTCTCCAGCTGCTTCTCGAGATTGATCTCGGTGGTCACCAGCTCCTTGATTTTCTCGCTGTCGATCGCCGTCTCGGCCGTCGCCTGCCTCTCGGAGACGCTCGAGTCCTCCTCGACGGCGGTCTCGTCCTGAGCGGATGCACCAGACCCGTGATCTTCCTCTTCGTTGTACCCGCTCCCGGACCTCTCGTCCGTTTTTCTCTCGTCAAGCTCGCTCTTCTCCTCTCCCTCTGCCTTCGACGCCGGACGAGAGTCGGGTTTTGCTTCCCGTTCCGCTTTGCACGTGGGTTCCGGTGTGGTCGGCGCGCCGGTCTAAATCAGAAGAGACGCGGAAGTTTCATTTCGCTGCCGCGGAAAAGCGTAGGGGAAGTTTTGCGAAAAACTTCGACGAAATGTCCCAAAACGTGCGAAAGCGAGTTTAACTACGAGAAAACCGAAACCAGACACCCATGAGACTTTTTACTCAGATTATTTCGCGCGCAGAGAGAATTTTGTAGTAAAAATTACCACAGAATTTCACAATCGGGGAGAGCACATCGACGTTCTCTCTTTTCCGCCTTAATCTATCATTCCTTCCGTCTCATTCGTGCTATTTATGTTTTAGAAAAACTGATAAGTCTACTATGAAAGAATTTACTGCGTATAATGTTTCTTAGAAAGAGATCAACTCTCCACTGACAGTTTATTCCCGTGTTATCAGAAAACACGATGAAAGAAAGTTTCAATTTTTCGGAAGAGCCAGAAATATTCTGTAGATTTTGGTGAACGGCAATCACGACACGTGGAAGCTGTTTCCTCGACTTACGGTGCAATCTTTAGCCTGTTAAAGATTTTAAACGATTGTCATTTTGGATAACTTTCCATCAATTGTATTCTCAATTGCTGTCGATCATCGCCGTGTCCAACATATATCCTCTCATTTGTCGCGTTTGTTTCGTACGTACTTGGACAACGACGTGTACGCGGAAAGTGTCAGTATGGCAATGAAGCACAGACGCATTCGTAAGGCGCATTCATGCAATAATCCGTGCGAGGGAACTTATCACGCATTCTTCCGTCGGGCTGCATACGAAGGAATTGACCACACGTGTTATAGCTTGGGTTACGTGAAGTTAACATGGAATTACACATTATTAGTGTCTGCCAGGTCGCGCATTGGCACGTACCGTGCCGGTTTTTTTCGTGACTTTCTATCCACGCGACATAAATCACACGCGGCCGACTAATCTAATATGATTACTTAGCATACATTTATATTCGTTGACACATGACTTTATAAAGTATTTCGTAATATAACGTCACATTCAATGAACGGAAAAAGAAAAAGCGTAAAGTGCGGCGAGAAACTTGCCAATCGTCCGCTTCGAATCATTAAAAAGCGAACGAAGATCGCGCGTTCTCCCAACATCAAACGTGTGTACTTACCTTTCCGGAACCGAAATCGCCGACACACGTACACACAATTCTTCCGTTCTGTCTCTTCGACAAAACTGAATAGTCCACACTTAAAGTGGTCACTGTACCGAATTATCGTTAAATCGTAAATATAATAATATATGAACATATATAAAAAAGAGGATCGAGTACAAATAATCGGTCTCAACAACTTAATGATTTAGTACCTTTAATCACATTTTCACATAATTGCAGAGGGGTCAGAATGTAGGAGTTAATTATATTTTCGGATCGGTCTTCGTGCGCAGACTATCGTCGCAGGACGACAAAGTCACTCTGGTAATTCACTCTGGTAACGAAGAAACAGAGAACATGCTACACGTGGTTACACTTACGAGGGTAAAGTTCGCGCGTACACACGAGACACTTTTGTACACGTTAATGGATGATGTACGGGTAATAAGTGATACATACGTGTGCCAACCGTCAGAATAGCTTTAACAGGCAATATATTGAAGTATATATAAAGTACTAGTATATATAAAGTGCTAGTACTATTTTATTAGCTTTATTAGTATTTTACCACACGTTGATATAGAAATCTTTTATCATAGAATAAGTATGCATTTCACGTTTGCATATCTCCACTTGAAGAATGCTTGATTCATACGAGCGTTTGTTCATTTGTTATGAGAAAAGGCTTTTGAATTTATCTCATATAACCGTATGGTCGGTCACAAAAAGGTTGCGACATTTTTCTCTATAAGTTTTGGAATCAATAGGGAAATGTATTTTTTAGTAATTCTCAAGAATAACATTTTCCTGGGTGCGAGACGCGTCGCGGAACTCATCGAAAAACAAACATATTGCAACTTTTTTATGACTTACCATACACGTTCGCTGTTTAATATTAAAATTTACTTTAAATAATCAGTGAATAATGAATCAATGATGCGTATGGTTAAAAGATCCTGGTTACATTGCACGTTAAGGCTATTTCCCCAGTCAGCGTACAGAAGTAGGCAAAAAGATTGTTACGCATTTTTCCTTCTATTAATTTCGCAACGCGTCTCGCGTCTAATAAGAAAATATATCTCTTGAAAATAACTAAAAAATAAATTTTCCTATTAGACACGGGATGTGTTCCAAAGCTTATCCAAGAAAAGTGTCGCAACCTTTCTGCCCACCGCTGTACATGTTAAAATTGCGATATAATATATAAAGAACTGGCGCATCGACTAAGATCCAAGACGTTCCGTTTCGACCTGAATATAACCGCGGTCTCAGACATCGTAAAACTCCAAAGTGGCAGACTAACGACTCATTTTGCCGGCAACTGTTCGTTCCAAGTCGGCCGTGATCGCTGAGCCGGCTGATTCGTGTCGAAATCGACGTCGTCGACAGGGTAGATGACTACTTGTACAAGTAAAGAAGAACGATCGAAGTGCATGGCACGAAGGCGTAAGCCACCAGCCTCGTGAAGTCGACGCCGATGCGATTGGTGAGACCCTGATAGAGGATCGTCGGCACGAACGACAGCCTGCGATTTTCGTGATCGAGCTCCGGATCAAACTTCTCCGAGCAGATCTCCTCGTCTTCCGCGCTGTCCTCGGTGACCCTGAGCGAGAACCAAGGCAGGCTCAGGCACATATTCTTCAGTCCTCCCCACCAGATCGGTCCGGTGAACGGGATGTCCTTCTTGGAGGACCTCGACAACCTTCTGCTCTTGCGATGGAACACTTCGCTGGAGACGTAGTCGCCGGTCGAACGAAGGAGGTCCGACAGTGCGCCATTCTCCATTCCCGCATCTTTGGACAGCCGCCTGGAGAGTCTTCTGCTGCCACGATGGAAGACCTCGGTGGAGATATAATCCTCGGTGGACTTCAGCATCTTAGAGAGGGAGTCATCTTCCTTGGGAACGACATCCTCGGGGATGTCCACGATAGACTTGCGGGGCTTGGAGAGTCTCCTGCTGCCACGATGGAAGACCTCGGTGGAGATATAATCTTCGGTGGACTTCAGCATCTTGGAGAGGGAGTCGTCTTCCTTGGGAACGACATCCTCGGGGATGTCCACGATAGACTTGCGGGGCTTGGAGAGTCTCCTGCTGCCACGATGGAAGACCTCGGTGGAGAGATAATCCTCGGTGGACTTCAACATCTTGGAGAGGGAATCGTCTTCCTTGGGAACGGCATCCTCGGTGGTGTCGACGATAGACTTGCGAGGCTTGGAGAGTCTCCTGCTGCCACGATGGAAGACCTCGGTGGAGAGGTAATCCTCGGTGGACTTCAGCATCTTGGAGAGGGAATCGTCTTCCTTGGGAACGGCATCCTCGGTGGTGTCGACGATAGACTTGCGAGGCTTGGAGAGTCTCCTGCTGCCACGATGGAAGACCTCGGTGGAGAGGTAATCCTCGGTGGACTTCAGCATCTTGGAGAGGGAATCGTCTTCCTTGGGAACGGCATCCTCGGTGGTGTCGACGATAGACTTGCGAGGCTTGGAGAGTCTTCTGCTACCGCGATGGAAAACCTCGGTGGAGATATAGTTCTCGGTCGACTGCAGGAGTTTCGAGAGCGAGCCTTCCTCTTCGGGGACCTGGTCTGTCACTTGGGACGAGCTGAGATCTTCATAGGAGCCTTCTTCGGACGAGACTGGGCCGCCGTCGTACTCGAGAATGTTGCAGGCACCTTCGTCGGTCTTTTCTTCGTTGTCAGAGGCATCGACGATGATGGGGAGACTCTCTCGCAATGATGGATCTCCTTCGCGCCACTCGGGTTCAACATAGAGAACACTTGAATCGCTCGTCAAACGTTGGAGAACGGGAGTGACGTTCTTCTGAAGCACGTGCTCTAGGTAGCGGCCCTTCAAGCTCAACCGTCGTTTGTGAACCTCCAACGTTTTGTTCGGCTCCGAGGCGTCGCGTTTCCGCAGGAAGTGGAACAACGTCGTCAGCAGGGACATCAAACGGGTGCTTTCACGGCTCAAATACGTCGCCAGGTACTTTCCCTTCATCCTAGTGCGCCTCGAGACGACGAGGCGGCTCTTCTTGGGAAACTTATTGACGGATGCTCGATGAGAACTCGATCGCGTCCCGAGGGACTTCGAATCGTAGATGTGAGACATAGCACTTATGGGCGGAGCCTCGAGGGAAAGAGTGTCGTCAGGTTCCGGGGAACGCGAGGACAACGAGTCCTCGGCGGTGTCGTAGGGCAAGGTAGAACGCATGGGATTCGGGCTCGACTCGAGAGAATCTTCCTCGAGGTTGTTCTTCATTTCATGCATTTTTACCTCGTACGGCGGCTCAGGTGTCCTGGGAATTTCCGTTCCCGGCGGCAGCAAGCCCTTCTCCACGAGACGCGCGATCACTGTCTTCTTATCCTGCTTCTTGATCACGACTCTGTAGGTTTCACCGTCGTCCCCGTCCGGCTGACTTTTCGGCTTCGGCACCGGTCGCTGCGGCCTCTGCAGGAAGGTCGAGGTGCGTTTCAATTCTTGCACCAGCTCGGGCTCGGCTGTCGCAATGTGCTGCAGCTCTTCTAAGACCTTGGAGCCCTTTAAGGCTGGGGCACGCGGACGTAGCTTCTTGAAGTTCACCCTGTCGATTACGTGGAGCGTGCAAAAAGTAGAATCGTTACTTGTGATTGTTCAAGATTGTCCGGAGTTGTAACGGAGAATGATGGAGGTATAGGACTGGCTTTACATATTCTCTGAATTTCCTGAAGTGAAATTTCATTCAAAAGTTCTTTCAACAATTTCGTTTATTTTATTATTGCACCGCGTCTACTGTGCCTGGATTTTTTCATGGCTCAATATTGACGAGCTTAAATTTTAACAGAGCCTTGTTTATTTAATCTATTAATTCATTTAAAAAGCGGAATAGCAGCCGAGGTGCTCGAATTCAAATGACTTCTCGTTCATGCAGGACAAATCCTACCGCTCTGAATCACCGATCAAATACCTTCACTCGGAATTGAATCTGACGTGCTCCACATCCGTCCCAGTAACAGATTCACTCTGATTCACGAAAACACCCACTCGTACGGATTAAGAATCCACTATAAGCTCGAGTTAAACATACACACTCTTGTGACTTAAAACGACGGCATTTTCGCTGTCACTTCGAGTGAATTGTTACTCGTTTCCAGTGTCAGATTTCATCGGAAGAAATTTAGAGAGTGTCAACCGTGTTCAAAAGTTTATGTATTTAAAAGTTAGTGTGAGATAAAATTTCCAAGGTGTAAAGGAAAATAATTCACAAATTCACAGATCTGACTCTGAGTATCAGTTTTGAATTAATCGTATGGTTTCTGAATGTTTTAATTTAACGTAAGATCTGTCGTTCTTCTGAAAATACTTTCAGAATCCTCAAAGCGTGTGTCCGAGCTCGCCGGAGACGCCAAATGATATCTGGGGCGCGACTGATTGATCGCCGGTAAAATCCTCGCCGCGGATTTCGTAAATTAGAAAGACGCCGAAAGGGGAAAGTATGTACTGATAATGACCGGCATGCAATTTCACCGACGGTGACGAATCGAGGCGATCGTGAAAATGTACCCCAATAATCCTTGATCGGACAGAAGCTCCTCCTCCTCTAGGATCAGCTGCGCGATCTCGTCATCCGTGAGATTTTTGTTCGGCACGATTTCACTGTCGGCGTCCACCGGTTTCTCCTCCGCGAGCTTCTCTCCCTCTCGCCTGACCTCGTCTTCGGCGGACGCTGCTTGCTCGACGGTCTCCTCTTCGTATCGCTCGATCACTGTCTCCTCCTTCAAGATCTGTTCTGGGAAGAGCGGCGGTAAGTCTGCAAGCTAATAAGCGGGCCCGGCGTCATCATCGCCGCCACTTTCTCTGGTACCGTATTTCTCTAAGTGTCATGCAAATTTAAGTTCAAAGATTTCCACCAACGGAGGACAGAATTTCATCTCGCGGAGCAAAAAGGGATCCCTATCGCTCCTAAATGTATCACGATGAATCGATCACAATTACGAGGAATCGCCGGTCGTGTTCTTGACCCGTCTGATTGTCGTTGCGGATCAACGACGACTGGTCGAGGCAATTTTCATTATTTTAGTGTGACTTAATAAACCTCCCGAGTTTACTCATTATCATCATAAAAAGAGGGAGCATCTCAAAACAGATGGATCCAAACCGAACGTTCTAAATCCTTTTGCTCTTCGAAACAAAGAAAACAACGATATCAAAAATCAAGCGAGGCTTGAATTGAATCAATTAAGTCACCGATGATTAAGAAATCAATTACGTCTCGCTTCGTGATGTGAGAAAGAATGTTCGGTCACTTTTGTTTTTCATTTCCTTTTCCCGCAAGAAACAAAAGTACAACTCTATTCCCCGTTGAATAAATCAATAAATAAGTGAGCTTTTCAGAGCGAGAAAAATAATAATAATCTCCCTCTCGGAGCGAACGTTGGCGGAAAACCCCCGGGCTCGAAGGGGTGCGCGCGAGGGTTGAGGAGAAAATCCGCGCGTCGCGGCTGGTAAGTCGCGAAAAAGTCGCGAAAAGGTAATCCGGCCAGCGATGAAGAGAATATATCAGGTATGCTGTTTACCTTGCGTCGTGGCGAATACTCACGGCGATCTTATATGGAACGATGTTCTCTTCTGATATCGCCTCGGCGGCCTTTCGTGCCTCTTCCTCTCTGCGCAAGCAACACACAGCGACCAAGAAGAAAATAGGACTTTCTCCGGCACGAGTACGCGGCTGGCTGCGGCGGCGGCGGCGGCTGCGGATGCGCCGACCGGCTCGGCTCTCAAATTATGCACTCTCGGCTGCTCGAATTATGCGCGGACGCGGCTGCACCGAGCGCGTGATTTCGACGATTTGCTTTTAGGACGCGCGAAACGGCGCTCCGCCGCGGCCGAATGCACGAGAAAGAGAGGGAGGTAGCGAGGGAGAGAAAGAGACAAAAGAGAGACGAGAGGAAAAACGGGGCCTGCAACGGGGGAGAAACGGCCCACAGCGATAAAATCGCCGACCAATGATAAACAGAATCTGATTCTGGGTCACCTATTTATAAGTTTTCGCAATACATTGCCACATACGTAGCTCATACGGCTCGACGTTGGATATTCTTACCTCCTCCCCTCCGTCGCCCTCGCGTTATTATCGACTATATGCCCGGCGATGAATGACGCGCGCGAGCCGCGGTCGGCTCATTAAATACGATGGCAACCTTCGGCTGTATTACGCCGAAACTGAATCCGCGTCAGGACACGGCGAGATCGTGACGCACGATCGTCAAATCGGACACCACGAGCCGGTTCGTCCGCATTTCCGTCCGGGGCCAGTTCACGCGTTGTGCGTCTTCCCATCGCGAAAAACGCGCCTTTCGTGACGAAGACGCGCAACGATGGGATAGCTAGCTAGCAATGCGTTTCGATCGTTCGGCCGAAAATAGAACTGTCATTCGCGTCAACCGTTGTATGAGTTTCGCCAATCAATCGGCATTCTATTAATAATCGAAGATTAAGAGCCGTTCGCCTTCTAGCAATTTGTCTTCCTTCAGTCTTAATTCATACCTCAGTCGATCGACTTCAGAAGTGTCATTCGAATAACTGTCGTGTTATGCATGAGTTCCGTTAATCAAGCTGTATTCTATTAATAGAGGAAGATTAATAGATGTTCTCTGCATGTCATTCATTCGTTTTAATTTCACTTCACATTTACTGCGTCTTATTTTTTGCTACGATATACTTTGGACCTAAGTAATTTTCTTACGAAAACATTCGATGGCTAATTGTATTTAATCCGGGAATATTCACCTTTTCTTCATGTAAATGACCGCGAACACTTGACGTGCATCTTCTGTTTTTTTAAATATTTTCTTGGTTTCTCCTCATTTTTTTTCAAAAAGTAGCGAATACATCTATATAATATTCTTAAATAATAATAAATCGTATAAATAAATATAAATGTAAATATAATAATAAATCGTAATAATAAATTATAATAATAAATCATAGAGTAATCGATAATGTGCTATATTTTGTTAACAAGCGACTTTTAATTGTGATCTAAACGATCCCGAGTGATTATTCCCTGGTTAAGAATTAATATGTGAACAAATTTGTACGTAAATTTTACGCAACATGTGGTTTTGTCTTGACTGATACAAGAAAAGAATTAATAAAGATATGGGATGGCATTAAGTAACGCGTCCGCGTACTCTTGTTTGATATTTTTAATTTTGAAGATGCAATTGTTTGAAAACGGAATTCGCATTTTTATATAACGCTCATATGTGCTTTGTCTTTTAGCACCAAAAAAATTTTCAATGATTATGTTGAAAAAATTAAAAGTACTCCAATTCTTGTGATTTTTATGGTTAACAACCCTCAAGGGAAGCAGACGCATTCCAATTTGCACACCTTACCTTTGCACACCCAAGACGAAGTTGTTGCCAGCATGCAAGAGCGCCTCATGCGCTTGTCCGTGAGTTAGGCAGCTGATCGGCTGATCGTTTAATCTTACTACAACATCGCCGACCTTTAAACCCATGCATTCGGCTAGGCTGCCCTCCGTGACCTGTAGATTATTTCTATATTTTATGTTCTCATCTTCTCAGAAATCCTAATAATATACCACGATTTTTCTCCGATTCTATTTATTTGTTGGGGTAGTAGGGTATTTCTAAAGCAATTTACTTGTTATCTTAGCCCGAAGATACAATGAGAAAGTGTTAATAACGTAAGTAAAACTAAACTCGCATTGATCGATAAAATTATTCAATGTTTGATACGTAAAAACTATTACATTTTTATCATAACTACGATTTTAATCGTTTTCGTCAGCATTTTGATAATTGTTAATAAATAAGATAACTCACTCTGATAGCGGCAAGCGGCTGTGGGAAATCGCTGCCACCCGCTAGTCGAAAGCCCCATGGCGTGTTGTCGAATTTTGTGAATTTTATGCTGATTGCCATGTCGCTCTACATCTGAGGTGAAGTCTGAAATCACATCCGGTGGATCTTGATGTTACGTATAATACTTTCCTCAAATTCATACGCTATTACAAAATCAGTCGGTGAATAAACGGGATACAAAAAATAAGTATAAAATTGAAAGAGATGAAAAATTAACCGATTAAAAAAATTACATTTCGATATCAATTGAGTCGAAACTGCAATTAATATAATCGATTGGCGAAACAAGTATTATCAGGTATTAACAACTCTCTCAAATTTTGTCGTAATCTTTATAAGTGAGTAAATCGACCGTACTTGAAGTTATTAGACATTATTGTTGTAAATTTAATAACTTGTTGCAAATGTATTTCCACTCGGTGGAGTCTAAATGCCTAAAATTTCAGCTACGTGAAATTACGTGGTATTTTGAGATAAAACGGGATATTGGCAACGCAATCTGACAACACGGATGGCGGATACGGGATTTTTTCTAATTTCCAGCGCTATTTTGATGTTGTTTACGAATGCAGCGGTAAAAGACATATATCGTCGAATAACGAATCATGAAGATATGCACGATTTAGAGAGAGAGAGAGAGAGGTCAACGATTCTCGCAGTTGCGCGAGCTGCCAACGTTTATAAATAAACGCAATCATAAATCACAGATAGGATTCGGGTGAACTTTAATCGGCATGCAAGGTGAGGTGAAATCAAACGTCGTCGTTAGAATAATATTCGCGTACGGTTTTATCATAACGCCGACCGACATCGCAGGAAATAAGAAACAGGCGAGGTTCATATTACGAATGTAATGCGTACCTTTCGAGATGTGTTTGTGAGTTTCTAAAATAAATTGACGCATTGACTGCCAAATGCCGGTAGAAATACCTGTAGAAATGTGTGCTTTCCCAGACAACCATTAGTTACTGTCCAGTATTAATATATTCTCATTAGTTGTAACAATACTGCGTAGGAAGTAGACGAGAACTCGAACAAAGTTTTATTCGACGGTATTTCTAAAGCAAAACTACCTATTTCGTGAGTAACAAGTTTGCTTATTAATCAATTGAATAACTTTTTTTCTATGCAATAACTGCAAGAAAAAGTGTTTGGGAAATCTTGATTGCGATCCCAAATAGTTTTACTCCTTAGTTACTAGACAAAAGTTAATAAACTGCCTGCTCAAAAATTGCACGAAGTTTCTATCATGGACGAGATATCTCGCAACTGGAATGTGAAAAGAATTCTCCGTTCCGTTAACTACGAGTTAATTTGTACAAGTTTGATATTTCGCGAGATTTTTCTGAATAATAAATATAATTAATTGACACATCCAAATAATAACATTTTAACTTGAAAATAATATCGGAAGTGTTCTCTAATGTCACTGCTGCAATCGACATGTTAACTCCGCTTCTTTACTCGATCAGAACGTGATCGAAATGATTCGTCCGTAAATTCCGCGCCCGGATCGAAAACTCTGTTGTAACTTTCCGTCGGAACTGTTGCAGCATTGAGACTCGAAACCCACCGAAACTGTATCGGTCGCAATTCCCGCGAGGAACCATCACGGAACTACGTATGATTCCGATCGGAAACGCGAATTTTCGATCGCGATTTCGTCCGTGACTTTGGGCTATTGGATTTCTTCCGAAATCAATCTACCATTTATACACGACGAAATAAACGACGAATGCCTCCACCGATTATCGTGTAAAACTTCCGTGGCTCTGTGTCGATCGATTGTATTTACACACACACACACACACACACACATATACACACATACACATACACACATAGAATTTATAGTTTGCGCGAGGTAAACTAAATCGTTTCTCCCTTCTCTTGTTTCGCTAATAGAAATTCGCTCATGCAAAGAATCGTCACCGACGACGATCGACACGAACTCTCCCTCTTAGTCAGCCCATGAATTCGCGCAATGTAGGGGTGACAGGGTCAAGTTGGCCCAAGGGTCATGCGTTGGCTATGCGTTTCGTTTATGTATTTGTTGTGAGAAGAACAGAACGGGAAAGGAATCACACATTGTTCCTTTCCCACTGCATTGAGTGAAAAAATTGAGCGAAAAGAACTACGTCTCAGATTTATGTAAATTTTCTCACGCAAACTGCAGTCGACCTAAATGGAATAAGAATCAAGTCGGATCAACAATGTGACGCAGGAATTTTAATCGCCAAATTAAGTGGACAATAAATGTAGTTGACAATAAATTGGGTGGAATTTATGTTCACAGTGAACAAACTGAACGCACGGCCGAAGGAAAGAGAATGTTTGGTTCTTGCGATCCGAAATTTGATTCTCACAACGTCCAGAAATTCTGTTCCCCTTCCACCAAAACACGTTCGCTTCGTTCACCGTCCGGTGAATTCGACCAAACTTCTTTTTCTTCCGTGTCGTACGAATAACGTTTATATTTATCCACCGTGTCACGCGTCGAACAACCCCCCAACCGTCGAAATGAGAGTATACAGAGAGTGTCCCTGTACGAGGAGGGTGGGTGGCCGATGGTGGTAGATAGGCTCGCTTGGTGTTTGCGGTATTACTTGCCGGCGGGCCGGGTGGTAGTTTAGCGAGGCTTCCAAGTGAGTCGGGGGCGCGTGTCGCAGAGAAGGGTGCACGGGGGTGGTGTGCAGACACGCGGCCAAGGACTCACTGCATTCGCCGTTGGTGGGCGCGAGAAACGGCTGGAATCGGTGGTCAAACGACGCGGAATAAGCGGACGAGCCCGGCCGGCCGTTGCCCGGCGCAATGCGGCCGAAACGGTGTCACGTTAAGCTTTGCCAGAAGGCAAATCCGTGGGCTTGCTGGCTGCAAATACTACGAGCGCGAGCCAGTGACGCTCGGTGCCGGCTCACAATCTATTTACTGATCGATCTATATTGGATTTGAGCCTCGATTTCCGGTTAACGTACGCCCGCCTCCGCCCCGTCGGCGAATTCGCGGCGGATCGACCGCTTCTGAACGGCGAACGATCTGAAACCGATGATTCGAGGATTCTTCGCTTTCGGTTCGAAAGTAATTTCACGCCACGCGCAGCCACGTGCGTGGCACGTTTAATTCATTTACGCCGAGTGTACTCTGAATTATTTTTCAATTTTTCTTCCCGGCCGATCCATGAAAATTCATTTACCTCGCGACGATATCGTATAGTTTACGTTTGTTTCAATATGTATATAATATTTCATTAACGCAAAGACATGTTTACAGTAATATATTTATTTCATTGAATACACTGAGTATAGTATTAAAATGAATGCAAAGTTGGTTTACAGAGAATCAATTATAATGGAAGTAAACTCGATATCGGATCATAAAGAACTAAAAATGTGTTGACTGCCGAATTGGTTACCATTCATTGTGCGAAAGCTTAACTCGTGATTAAGTGACAAAAGATACGGCAAATAAATATATTATAAACATAATTATATAAATATTATCATATACATATAATTATAAATATATCAATATAATTCAACACACTGGATTAACATATACGATCAGTTTACAATGAAATTAAAAATGTCGGCAACGTCATGAAAATAACTGTATTTCATTTTGCATATGAATACGCAATCCTCAAGAGTTGGAGGGATATTGAGTAAACATTAATAACAGTAATATTGCATGAATGTTACAATTTCCCTCACTAATAATTCAACTGTTACATACAACCCGGCAACCACCAACCAACAATAACATAACATCAATGTTATAATTTCTTACTCAATAATGTAAATGTTACGTAACACACACGTTATGTTGCATTTACATTGTTAAGTGGGAAATTATAATATTGAAGTTATATTACTATTAGTTGGTGTTTACTGGGGATATATAAATATATTATATTGCGCTTACATTGAGAAAGAGATTATAACATTGATGTAATATTACTATTAGTTTACTGGAGTAGAGTCAAGGCGCGCAGTATGCGATCTGGGTCTTAATTTCTAAAACGGCAGTCAGCTGCTTTCGCCTAGCGGCGAATTTAGATCTTGAACAGATTCTAAGTGGAGTAAATATTTACCGTGTCGCTAAAATGACCTTCCACATCGTCGAATTGTTTTCTTCTTTGTGGTCTACCTCGCAGTGAAGCACGAGCGTTTAATTTGACGATGAGAAATAATAAGAATATTGGAATATATAAATGATATATAAATTAAATATATAAACGATGTATAAATGATATATAAATTGAATATATAAATGATATATATTACAGTCAGAGAATATTTTGTCGAATTTGTACAGTTATAAATTCGTAGAGAGCAATGATATATAAATGATATGTATTATAATCAGAGTATATTTTATGGAATTTAAATAGTTATAAATTCGTAAGGAGCTCATGTTATGAATTGCAACATCTCTTAATTCTTGCGACATACAATACGCGACAATACCAACATTGATTTTATTTCATTCGCGATATTGTATATTAAACACCGAGTCCATTCATAATACGCGCATGGTCCTAGAAACATAGGTCCGACGTTTCCCTAGTATTGCTAGCGACATTAGATAAATTAGATATATCTGTAGATACCGGCATCTTAGTGGCAAGAAATTAAGCAAGAAACATGCGAGAATTCAGACTAAATTTAGGGGAAGAGTAGTCTTTTTAAGATACAATTCTAAGTAAGTCCTAGTCTGCAATAGGTGTTTAAGTCTTAAGAAATTGACCAATCACAGTCGATTATTCTTTTCATATTCGACTGTGATTGGTTAATTTTTTCAGACTTAAAGCACTTATTGTAGACCGGTACTAAGTTTAAACAGTTCTAGTAATTTCTCACTATTCTCAATTATTTTCCACTATTCTTATCCAATCACCATGACGATAGCTCTCTCCCTAGCTATTACCGGTGAAAGCAGGTAGGCTAAAAATTAAGAGGATGGGTACTTCTGCTAATAGGTCTGTTTGAGTTAGCTTCCCTATGAAATATACGATTCTTAACTAGTAACTTTTTGTCTCTAGGAAATGTATTTCCTTAATCCCGATCTACAATAGAAGTAATATGCTTTAAGCCGTAAAAAATTGACCAATCACAGTCGAATTGTAGAAGAAAGTCAATTATGATTGGTCAATTTTTTATGGCTTAAAATTACTACATCTGTATTGTAAATCGGGACCTAAAGCCCGTGTCACTACGGATTGGAATTGAAATTGGATTAAAATTTGACAAAGCAGAACGAAATTCACTAAACTCGGGTTTAGTCAAACTTGCTCCGATTAGTCAAATTTCAATTCAATTTCATCTAATCCGTAGTCTGATACGGTCATTATTGGATATCGATGTTATTAGGTGGTAAACTTAGTTCCTGCGGCTTACAGTTAGATGACGTTAGTTGTAGGTGTAATTTATCTTGACATCTGAAACTTGCTGCATTTTAGAGGTTAGACATTTGTCAATAAAATTCAGTGCGAAGAGATTCATTTAAGCGAGCAGTGCTATTTTTTCTTTTGATTAAATATGGAACGCGATAAGTTGTTTTTTCGACATATACTGCTTCATTACTTTGACTTGAAAACAACTGCAGCTGCAGCTCATAAATTGCTTTTCGAAGCTTATGGCAATTATGCTCCATCGGAAAGAACATGCCAAGTATGGTTTCAGCGATTTAAGATTGGTGATTTTGATGTCAATGATAAAGACCGCTCAGGCCAACCGAAAAAGTTTGAAGACACCGATTTGCAGGCATTATTGGACGAAAACTCTACTCAAACGCTCCAAGAATTGTCTACAGCATTAAATGTTACTCCGATGGCTGTTTCCAAACGTTTACATGCAATGGGAAAAATTCAAAAGGAGGGAAAATGGGTACCACACGAATTAACGGCAAATGCCATTGCGAATCGCTTAAACATCTCCATTTCTCTGCTCGCCAGGCAGAAAAAGAAGAGTTTTTTGTGGCGCATAGTGATTGGCGATGAAAAATGGATATACTTCGATAATCCTAAACGAAGAAAATCGTGGGTAGACCCTGGCCAACCATCAACATCCATACCAAAGAGAAATATTCATGGCCACAAAACAATGCTTTGCATTTGGTGGGATATGCACGGCGTCGTTTATTATGAGCTATTGAGACCAAACGAAAGTATCACGGGGGATCGATATCAATCACAATTAAACCGTCTGAATGAAGCATTGTTGGAAAAAAGGCCAGCAGTAGCCAGCAATCGACGTAAAGTCATGCTTTTGCACGACAACGCTCGACCACACGTTGCCAAAGCCGTCAAAGAAACACTGATGCAGCTCGAGTGGGAAGTTCTTTCGCACCCAGCGTATTCACCAGACTTAGCTCCTTCGGACTATTACTTGTTCCGATCGATGCAGCACGGCTTGGTGGATACACACTTCAGAAATTACGAGGATGTGCGAAAATGGATCGACGAATGGATTGCATCAAAAGACCAATCGTTCTATCGTCGCGGAATCTACGCATTGCCCGAAAGATGGGAAAAATGTATAGCTAGCGAGGGAAAATACTTCGATTAATGTATTTCTTGCTTTGATGTCGAAATAAATGAGTGTTTTAAACAAAAAGACCGCAGAAACTAAGTTTACCACGTAATATATGTTGGATGCAGTATGAATCCCGCATAATAGGTCTGTTCGTTTTCGTTGCACCGCTGAACTAGTGCAATAAGTTGAAGTGAGAAAACATATACTTGTCTCGCTTCAACTTATTGCACTTGTTCAGCGGTGCACCGAAAACGAACAGACCTAATATTTCAATAGAGGGAGACACTCATTTGATCAACCACACCCATATGTCCAACTACGAACTTCACCGATTGGTTCATTGCACTAGGAACATTGGAATCAACCAATCAGAGATCAGTGTGAATGAACATGAGTAATCAGGAAGTGAGCAGTCAAGACCTTGCCATTAAATTCTCGACTATGTTGAACTCAACTTGAAAGAACAAACTTGATATGTAGCCAATGAAATAGTTCTGCGTTCCGTGATGAAGGTCCCGTAAATTGCGATTGGGTGAGAGATTTCCCAGGTATTCCCACTATTCTTGCTATAAAAGATTGATTAGCAAACGCGATCGTCGTACATTGAGCTGTCGTAACAAAGAATCGTGACAAAGAAATCTTGTGACGCCAGTGATCACGAAAATCTTTATTTTCAACGTATCTTGTTGTGGGTAGTTTCGAGGCGTTAAAGTTTTCAAGTAAAACGTCAAGCACGTTTTAGGACAAGCCAATATGCCGAGGAAAGGTATGTGCGTCGTTACAATTACAGAAACCATATTGTCGACTTCTACCGCAAAGCCGACATTTTTGTTGCGACGTAAAAGATCGATTTTGAAGCTATTATAATTTTAATGATGATGTAATATTGATGTTAAATATTATTCGAAAGGATCAGCTATAAATCCGATTTATTGATGATTATATGATACTATATCTTAGACAATATTATTCGGATACGGAAATTTGTGTTGCTTGTGATAATTGCATGTAATCGCTCGATGTATGTGTCATTTAACCTTGAATCGTGAGCATTGATCAATTATTATTTTTTATTATTATAGTGCTCGTCAAACTTTCCAAATACTGACTTTTTATTTCCTCCTTTATTGATCAATTCTATTATAATCTGTAGAATTCTGAATATTCCGACCTTGTTTAATTCGCTTATATTGCTTATTTTATGGCTAGATTTGTATTTTATTTTATGTACATTCTGTAACATTTATGTACATTTATGTATATCCTGTAAAATGAATTGTTCAGTAAAAGGTGTGTAGCGTTCTTCCCAGCTCGTGTACTGAAGAATTCATTGTTATGGACATATTATGTTGTATTAACATATTATCTATGTTATTAATGTTTTTCTGTTATAGTTTCTAAAAATAAGTATTTTTTTTTACACACCCTAAGGCTGCATTTTCTTTGGGTGCTCATATGCTGCCTAAGCGGCTTTCTATCTTTATTGTTCATTACATGCCAAAAGAAGATTGCAATTGATTTTTTTTACATATTTTTTGGCCTCTGACTCGTGTAGTCCTATTCTTACATACTTGTGTGTTATGTAATTTGTTGTGTTTAATTAGTAGTATTATTTTTTCCTGATTGGAAAGATCACAGAGCTTTATTTGTGATTTATTTTCTATAAATATTACTATTAGTTTACTGGAGTAGTGTCAAGGCGCGCAGTATGCGATCTGGGTCTTAATTTCTAAAACGGCAGTCAGCTGCTTTCGCCTAGCGGCGAATTTAGATCTTGAACAGATTCTAAGTGAAGTAAATATTTACCGTGTCGTTAAAATGACCTTCCACATCGTCGAATTGTTTTCTTCTTTGTGGTCTTCCTCGCAATGAAACACGAGCGTTTAATTTGACGATGAGAAATAATAAGAATATTGGAATATATAAGTGATATATAAATTAAATATATAAACGATATATAAATGATATAAAATTGAATATATAAATGATATGTATTACAGTCAGAGTATATTTTGTCGAATTTGTATAGTTATAAATCCGTAGAGAGCAATGATATTTTCTTAACCCATTTGCATCATGACTCTACTTAATCCTTTGGCCTATAACCACGAGTCTGACTCGTGGTAAAAAATTTGTGCCATAAACAAAAGCCACGAGTCAGACTCGTGGTGAGGAATTGGTGCATAAGATGCCGCGTATTATTCGAACAAGCGAATGGAGTTATTCCACATCCAATACTTTTCCTTTGATTGAAAAATCCAACAAGAGCTTGCAAAGTATGTACGAAACATAAGAAAAGGTGTGAAACTACATGGGAATGTAAGAACTGTCGCGTTGCGTTACATGTACCTCAGTGTTTCGAAAGATACCATACAGTTGAAGACTACTAATTTTCATTCAATTAACTAAGTATTCATTTACAAATTGCTATTGATNTTTGCAAAGTACGTACGAAACATAAGAAAAGGTGTGAAACTACATGGGAATGTAAGAACTGTCGCGTTGCGTTACATGTGTTACCTAAGTGTTGCGTTACCTAAGTGTTTCGAAAGATACCATACAGTTGAAGACTACTAATTTTCATTCAATTAACCAAGTATTCATTTACAAATTGCTATTGATTCATTATCTACTTTGAAATAATAAATTATTTTTGTCAACTGATCAATTGATTATGATTGCACCCTAGACGTCTTAAAATTACTATTTGTACCTAAACATTGTTTATTATTTCACAATTCCTTTCGTTGCACTGAAATATATATGTCATGAAAGGCATACATTTTGCGCCAGTTCGGGTACACGGCTGAACAGTTGAATGGCACAGCGCGCGACCGATTTTCTTGTTTACTATAGCTCGCGCAATTGGCAGATATCGTGTAGGCCAAGGGGTTAAGTTTCTGTGTTCAGACATCAGCTGACAGTTGGCCCGTATCACCGCGCATATCGGCAGTTTTATTATTTTCGTTAATTTCTACAGTATACTCGTTGTACAGTACACAGTAAACTTCTACAGTAAATGACTTCCGAATAGTTCGTAGAGTTTATTTAACATGGTTTATTTAAGAATGCAATGAAAATAGCTCAAATGCTCACAGATTGACAACAAAACGTGAACTGTGTCATATGCGGAATATTCCGCGAGCGGTGATAAAAAAAAGTCGCGGCTCGCGGAATATTCCGCGCCCGGTGATAGGAGACGATTGTCATGCGCGGAATATTCCGCTTACGGATGCAAATGGGTTAATTTAGATGTATTACTGACATTAAGTATTATTTTTAAGTACTAATTAAAATCTAATTAGTTTGAGCACACTTTCAAATTATAATATACAGTATTTATGTTTTAGGAAAGAAGAAACATCGTGTTCAACAAGAAGAAGATACATCTACCTCAGCTCCAAGTACAAGTGAACAACAGTCTCCTTCGCAGCAACAACAAAAACAACCGCAACAAAGCTCGCAGCAGCAACAAAAGCAACCGCAACAAAGCTCGCAGCAGCAATGCTTGCCGCAGCCAGTAGTAAGTAATGAGTTACTGAATTTGTCATTACAATAGACCAGCAACTGTTTTTAACGTTTGGTACTATGGATTTATTTTGGGGAGCTCTTCCCCTATATATATATATATAATCTCAGTGATATATATCTATATATCATTGAGGTAATCATGAATTTCCTGTCGAGCCCAGCCTTCATTACAACAGCAACTATTTCGGGTTTATGTTAACTGCAATTTTCAATACAGCAACAGCAAGCAAGTCAACCACAAGCATGGGGTCCGCGTCCGCAACAGCCTTTTCCGCAACATCAAGCATCTCAACCACCAGCATGGGGGGGGAGTCTTATGCATGCGCAACAGCCTTTCCCGCAACATCAAGCATCTCAACCACAAGTATGGGTTCCACGTCCACAGCCATTCCCAAGGGTAGATATCTCTTTACAGATGTTGGGTCCACAACTAACACCAAAAGAGAGTTTTTTGTCACAAGTATCTTAATCACAAGTATCTTAATCACAACTTATATCGAAACAGTCTTCATCACCACAAGTACCTCAACAACAATGGGCTCAACAACCACAACAACTTGTACAACAAGTGCAACGGCAACCTGTACAACAAGTACCACAGCAACCTGTACAACAAGTACCACAGACACCGCAACAAGGAGCATGGCGCTCACAACAACCTGTACAACAAGTACCACAGACACCGCAACAAGGAGCATGGCGCTCACAGCAACCTGTACAACAAGTACCACAGACATCGCAACAAGGAGCATGGCACCCACAACAACTTGTACAACAGATACCGCAGCAACCTGTACCACAGACACCGCAACAAGGAGCATGGCGCTCACAACAACTTGTACAACAGGTACCGCAGCAATATGTACCACAGGCACCGCAACAACCTGTACAACAGGTACCGCAGCAACATATACTACAGGCACCACAACAAGTAGCAAGACGCCAAGAACAACCTGTACAACAGGTACCGCAGCAAGCGCCGACTTCACGTCCGTCAACGTCGAGCCAACAGGTTTCAGGTAAATTCATCTTCCACGTGTAATTGGCAAAAAGTTAATAATTCTAAGCTGTGTTGTTTGCATTTTTTAATCATATTTATACATACATTTGTTATATATGTGAGTATTTTTATATTGTACTTTCGTATTGTTGCAGGTGCTCAGCAACAATTTGAGAGAGGCGATGCATCGGTAACACGTAAAGCTACATCGCCTTCCTCTACATCATCTGGACAATTGTCAAAAGTTTCTGTGCCAAAGTATAAATTTAAGAGTGAAAAGGATCTCAATATACCGAGGAGAAAAGACCCTAAGAAAGCTGGAACTGTAGGGCAACGAATTCGTGTTTGGACAAATATGTTTGAAATCGTATTTCACAAAAATTTTGTTGACGAAGCGGTGCATTATGACGTCAAAGTTGTTGCCATTGATAAACTCCCTCGAGGGAAGGAGGGAAGTGAACCTAAGAAACGTGACATCAAAAATAAAACTTTACTTCGAGAGATTTTTGAACGCTGTAGAAGCCTTCACTTTCCTGAAAGATATCCAGCATATGATGGAATGGCAAATGCCTTTGCTGCAAGAGATTTACCTTTCGGAGATTCAGTAAGTAATAAATTATATATATATCCCCTGTTTTCTATATACAATTCGTTGTCAAGGAAGATAATCGGGATAAGTATTTTTTATTTTAAACATTGGCTCTTATCGTTAAATTCAATAAAGCGATATTACAATGTTAAAGTCGAGTATATATGTTAGATATGATTCATGATGATTATATATTATACGTAATATATAATTATAATTTATGAGATAGAGATGCATAAGACAAGATAGATCAAATTAATTATAATTTTGTAATTGTGTAAAATTATTATCGTAACTGTATAAAATTATAAATTATAACGTTAATTTTTTTATACGTATTATCCTATTTTTAATCACTTGTAAATTTTTCATTATTTGGTGTAGTTCTTTAGTGAAGTTGAAATTTTTGACAAAGACCGAGACGAAAATAGGTCATATGAAGTCGCCATAAACAAAGCAGGTAAAATCGATCTTTCCTGGCTAAAATATATAAAGCCTGGCCTTGATGAAGCGATCATAAATCAAACTTCTATACAAGTTTTGGATGTTATCTTGCGCCATGCACCAGCGTCAAGACTCATAAGCGTAAGTTACACAATTTATTCTTATCTTACATGAATTATTTTATTGAAAATTTATAACAATTTTCGTATCTCTTAAGAGAAATTAATTTACTTAACAATTTGCTTTTCGACTTGCTTACTGTGAGAAATACGAATAAATATGTTATTATTTAAATATAAGTAATATACGATATAAAAATATATACATGCATATGTGTGTGCATGCATGCACGCACGTGCATGCATGCGTGCATGTGTTCTGTTATACATAGATAATATGCTACAGGTTGGGAAATCACTTTTCCCACCAGTAGAAAACAAACGACTGGAAGCATTAGGAAAAGGATTAGATCTCCATGTTGGCGGATTTACATCCGCCATAATTGGCTGGAAACCTTATTTAAATGTGGACGGTAAAGTATTATGTTAATAGTTACATTATTTTATTTTCAAATGTAGTTATGGGGGTGGGAGAGCGGGGAAGTTTAAAGGAATCGTTCTTAAGAATTTTAAATGCGTGCGTGCGTGCGTGCCTGTAGAGAATGTGATAATTTTAATGATATGACGCTCGTATGCAAGTAAGTCGTATCAAATCGAACAGAAAAGTCCTGTATTATCTTACAAATTTCGTAATAGTTATTAAGAAATTAATTGAACAATATTAGTGGGTGACTATGCAGTAAGCGGTAAGATAAGCTTTGTAGGTCAAGGTTTTACCCAAAATCGAATCTATTGACAATCTCCAGGCAACGACAGACAATGCATGATACTAGACATGATATTAGGCGTATAGTCTCAACATCTTCATTAATTAGGATCAAATTAACTATTATGATTAACTAGTATTTTAATAACTATTGAGCTCCTGTCGCAAATTGATGTAGAACCTATTTGTTCAAATTTAGGTTGATATATTCTACCTGCGCACGAGTGTTGTTTCGTTTTAATTCACACACTTTGTACATGCGCGCGTGTAGTATGTGAGAAGTAACGTGTTTCTTGTTCTATTTATATCATCATGTGTAGTACTTGCTCTATATCATCATATGTAATACTTTTTATATATTCTTTTTTTAGTCATTCATAAAGCTTTTGCGACGAATCAGACCATTCTTAAGCTACTTTGCCAATTGTGTGGACTGAGAGAAGAATCGGAGCTAGACGAAAAAACGGTGATGTACTATGAACGCGATATTTGCAAATTTTTGAACGGTTTAAAAGTGAATTACGCATTACCCGGTCAACCGAGCACCAAACGAACGTTTCGCGTGAATGGATTAGGTCCAAACTCTATTAATCATAAGTTTGACGTGAAGGGGAAGATGTGTTCGACACAGGAATATTTCGCTAGTTTGAAAAATTACAGGATTAACTGGCCAACATTGCCCTGCCTTTGGGTAGGCAAGAGAGATGGAAAGACTTATTTGCCTTTAGAAGTACGTAAACCATCTTATATTGGCTGAAACTAATCGAATAACACTGATTAAAAATTCCCCTTGAACGTTCACAGTTATGTCAGGTTGTACCAGGTCAGCCGATCAACAGGAAGCTGGAGGAGGAGCAATGTACTAAAATGATTAGATTCGCAGCTACTGGTACTGAAATACGTAAAGAAAAAATTATGACAGCGGTAAAGCACATATTTCGCATTATTTTTTTCCGATTAAAGTCGTTTTACGTCGTTATTAATAATGTTCACATTTGCAGTTCAATGGGATTAATGTGAATCGTAGCCCTGTTACACAATGTGAGTTCCCTGTACGTGTTAACCCCACAATGAAAGAGGTCGAAGCTAGAATCTTACCTCCTCCGACACTTCAGTACGACAGTCGAATGCAGCCGATGAAACCAATTCGAGGAACTTGGCGTGCTACAAAATTTAGTACACCTGCGAGATTGGATGACGCTACATGGACTATTGTCAATATCTGTCCGCAACCTGTGGATAATAAATTACCCGACTTTGTGAAGGAGTTAACAGATCAAGGTTAAGTATATGGAAACTTTAAGTTGTTAAATTGGTTTACTTCGGGTTGTTTTTATGATAAATTGAAACGCTCTTTTTAATCGTGTTGATTTGTTCAAAAGTAAATTTTATCATAGTATTAGATTAAAAATCGCAAAGGCCAAAGGTCCAACAAATCGTGATTTTAATTAAAATTACATGCGTGCGCGTGTGTGTGTGATATAAAAAAAATATATGTATAAATATTTTTTTATACGTTATATATTAAAAGATATTAAGTTATATTACCTTGCATTTATATTACGTTATGTTATATCGGTTTTCTGTGTCTCTTTAGCGTCTAAGTTTGGTATGGTAATTGGAAAACCGAAACTTCCATATCTGAAAATAAGAGGACAACCACGTGAAATTGAACAACTTTTTACGCGGGAGAAAGACATGAAATTAATAATTGTTATCTTACCAAATCATACGGATTCAGTGTATGGTGAGTATAGCGTACCCAGAGAATGAGTATATTTTTTTTTGCATTTACTTGCTATTCTCTAAGTACCTTTGAAATATATGTTTGAAATATACGCACAGGCAAAGTGAAACAGATCAGCGAATTGAGAGTAGGTGTACTGACTCAATGTATAAAAGTGAAGAATATAATACGACCCAATTTGTCGACAATACAGAATATTCTCTTAAAAATAAACTCAAAATTAAATGGCATTAATCATACGTTTGCTCCAATGGGAATGTAAGTAGATAACACTTGTGTACTTTAATATATCGCAGAATTTTTTTATAATTTCGTCTAAGCACGTTTGATCTTTCTTTAGGCCAGAGTGTCTGCGCAATACACATTATATGCTCATCGGTGCTGATGTTAGCCATCCATCTCCCGATGCGAAAAATATACCTTCCGTAGCTGCGGTGACTACAATTAAATAGCACATTTTTTTTATATACTGCTCGAAACAAATCAGAAACTAACACTTTAAATGATTCTGCCAGATTGAACCACGATTTATACGATTATTAACGTAAAAATGGCATTTCCACCTAAATATTCAAGTACTGGATAATATATTTAGAATAATGTAGATTATAATTAATTATTAGAGGTTTTTTTAAAGTAGCATTTCTATTACGTAGAACACGAACGTTTGAAGAGGTAACTCTACAATTATTTTGAGCAGTACATACACACACACGCGCGCGCACACACACACACACACACACACACAAAACACACACATAAATTACACGTTCTAATGGATATAATCATAATTTAGGTCGCGGCAAGTCACGATGAGACTACATTCAAATATAACGTCACGATTAGACTGCAACAAGCGAAGCAGGAAGAGATAGCAGATTTGAAAGAAATAATGTTGAAGCATATTGTGTTTTACGTTAAAGAAATGAGAAAAATACCAAAAAAAATTATCTTTTATCGGTGCGTATCAATGATGCTGTTCAATATCAAACCGCTCGAAAGGAAATTTTTCTTTTTTTCTCAAATATATAAAGAAACTTTTACATGAAAAAAAAGTTCAACTTGCGTCTACATATTGATGCACATTTTTAAGATTATAAGCATCAGCTTCACTTTTCCTCGCTGTTTACACATTTGCATTTGAATTTAGAGATGGGGTTAGCGAGGGCCAAATCGCAATGGTTTTGGATAAAGAGATAAGATGCATCAAAGAAGCATGTAGGGAATACGCACGCGTGAAACCCGAATTTAAGCCTGAGCTTACATTCGTAATTGTTCAGAAAAGACATCACATACGCCTTTTCCCTACGCGCAAAGAAGATTCAGATGACAAGAACTACAATGTGAAGGCCGGCACGATAGTCGATACGGAAATTACCCATCCAAATCACATCGATTTTTATCTTGTGTCACATGCGAGTATTCAGGTAAATTTATCTAAATTTAACTTACGCTTAAGCATTAGCGTCTCATAAATGTGGTGGCATTATAATAAAAAAAAAAAGGCTGAATATTCTTGTACGATAAAAATTAATAATTTGCAATAAGAAGGATAGAGTATATAGATTATCGGTTTTATATAAATTATACATCTTTTTATTTCTCCAATTTTGTAAATATATTTGAGTTCTTATTTATTGCCCTAATATGAAAACAGGGCACAGCAAGGCCTACGAAGTACAGATGCATCTGCAACGAAAGTAATTTTAGTGAAGATCAACTCGAAGAATTGACGTATCATCTCTGTCATATGTATGCACGTTGCACAAGATCAGTGAGCTATCCCGCTCCAACATATTATGCTCATTTAGCTGCGTATCGTGGGAGAATGTGGATACAAGGGTGAGTGATCGATAATGCATTAATTCGGGTAATGATTGACCCTTTCTGCCCGGCTGATTCCAATTGTAATTACTAACTTTTAAGTTCCCTCACTGTAACTTTTGCCGTGCCCAAAGACAAAATAAATTGAAAGAAATTTTTTTTTACTTGCAAAAATAGATTCAGGTTAGAAAGGGTTAATTACGGTATCGATCGTAACGATGTGTGCGTTTTCTTCCTGTTCGCAGAGATAGTTATACGGACTCGGACTTCCAGGATAAAAATAAGTGCAAGCTGGAACCAAAGCTTATCTGTCCGATGTCGTTTATTTAAATATAATTGCATTACATCGCACTAACTTGAAGTTGTCGTAATATTAAAAATACGAAAAAGTTTAGAAAGTATATGTTTTTTCATAGATTAAAATATATATGATTTTCTTTTTTTTTGTATTACTTTTAAAGTATATAGCTTTTCTTTTTTTGGTTAAAATATATGATTTTCTTTTTTTGTTGTATTACTTTTAAAATATATAGCGGCCACATGCATACATGTGCTTATATTCAATTCTATAATTCCATGGCATATACAATTTCATATATATTTACAGCATAAAGTACATACATACATACATACATACATACATACATACATACATACATACATACATACATATGTGTGTGTGTGCGTGTGTATTAGAATTATTAAGACGGTGAACGGGGCAGTGACTTTGAGCATTTACAAGTCCTAAGTATAACTTGCTCGTTATAAGATACTTTATGAAGGTATAAATAATAATCCTAATAAACAGGTATATTTTACATAGAGCTGATAATTTTTATTTCTCATGATAATTTTATATATTTAAAGCTCACATTGTATGTACTTTGTATCTCCGAAGATTATTATGAGTAAAAATTAATATGAGTTTTCATTTTTGGGTTTTCATTATATTATTATGTAACTTCGATATTTGGGCGACAATTGCTGTGCATATTTCATAAGTAATATTAACGTTTGAATCGTCCCTCATTGTTATATCAGGAACTAGTGTTTCCTTTCGGATGCTTTACCATTCGAATTTCGAAGCTTCGGTGTGTTCCTTATTTGAATTTTGAAAATTTCGAAGTCACAGTCGGAGTTATATAAGATTTCAAACTATGTCTGGTATATACATTTATTTACTAAAGTTCATTTGCATTATTTCTCAATATTCCCTGAGTAAAATATATACGGGCGTTAGTCCACAGCATTCCCGGGATTATACTCTTCGAAGCTTCGAAACCTTGAAGATCATGGACTTCGAAAACGAACGTTCGAAGCTTCGCCTTACCAAAATTCGAAAATTCGAATTTCTTTCCAAACTTCGAAGCTTCAAGGTTAAACAAAGATTAATAGCCTTACTTCGTACTATTGACAGACCAATGTTTATCTTGTATGTCATTGCTTGGAATTATACTTTCGACATGATTTCCTGGAGCTGTTCCCATCTTCTCCCCTTGTTTCTTCCGCTTACTTGTCGAACTTCAAGGTCGAACTCGTCCTTCTTAAAAGCTCCCGATCTTTCGATTGTAATCTTATCGAATTATAATGTGAAAAGTAAAGAATTATTGATTTTTTTCTTGCGTTATATTTCGAAATAAACATATCACCATTTGCAGTCGATTATATAATAGACGCAGGAGCGAAAAAGACGAATTTATTTCAACATATAGTGCAAGAAAAAATGTCTAATTTCTGATGTTATACTTTAATATAGCTACAATGAAGTATAATAAGTCATGAAAAATTATAATCGATGTAAAAACGAATATATAAATTAAATAAAAATATATGATCGTATAATTTGAAAGATCACAGGGAACATGGTAAAGGTTTCAATATCCACTAATTAGAATGAGGAATGGGAAATGGAGAAACATTTATACAATAACATCGCATACTTTTTACTCTATAAATATTTTATATATATATATATATATATAGTAAAAGCATAACATGTCTACTGTTAGTTGATATTTTTCGTCAGCAATAAGCAGGTTTCTCAGCCGTGTCGAGGATATGAGCGGAAAAAGTGTCGAGCGGGGCGAGATTATCGGAATGAGCAGGATAAGCATATTCTCGACAGAGAGAACCGAACAAAAGGAGAGAGAGAGAGAGAGAGCAGCGAAGCAGTCTCGAAAACGACGCGGTCGAATTCCGGCTGGCGCAGTGTCGATAAAGGAACATCATCGGCCGTCCTTTTTCCTCTCTCTCTCTCTCTCTCCCCCTACCACCCTCCCTCTTTCTCGGTTCGGGTCGATCCCCTTTAAACACACGAATGCAACAATATGGCGGATCGCGCTCTCGCGCCGGCACCCGCGTTGCATGTTACGCTCTTTTGATTCGTGGCATTCGGCGGAGCCGCGGAATTGCGTGCGACACGCGCACGCACGCACGTACGTACACACACACACATACGTGCGTATTCTCGATCCCGGCCGTTCTCGCGGAGATTCTCCGGAGATCGGAGCCTTGTGCACTCGAGTCGGATACACTCGGCGGTGATCGCGTGAAAAGTACTTTCGGCGCTCCTCGTCGCAGCTGTCGCCGTCCGTCGTCCTCCTCGGCTGCGTACACTCCTCGTCCGATTATCGATCAGCAGCACCCGATACCGATGGCGATGTGCCGCCGCGGATGATGGAGCTGACGGTGCGCGACCTCGCCGATCCCAGCCGCCGCTGCTGAGGAAGGGCAAGGCGAGAGGGAAAGAGAAAGAAAGAGAACGAGCGAAGCATCAGCAGAGGACGCGTGTGTGTCGAGTGTGTTGCTGCTCCACGGATCAACGACGCTGCTCCTGCGTGTGCTGCCTGTCCGTCCGTACGGCCGTTGACCGGTGACACTGTGAGTACGAATGAATATCGTTTTCGCGTCTCCTGGCGTTGTCCTTATTGGAAAGAGCGAACGAGCGAAATCCCGTACGCGAGTTGCACGGGATGCAGCCGATGTAGATCGATGCCGTCCGCTTACACTCGCGACGACGGCCGAGCATCTGCGTGATCTGCCCGAGAAACTTACGAGTACTCTCTCGCTCGCGTATTATTAATATTCCGCGCCGGCCGCCCTTATTATACGTGCGAAATTCTTTCCTCGCCCGCCGTCGGGATATTTTCAGAGTGCAATTTCGGCGCTGAGCCGAATTTAAAGAGGCGGGTGTATAGTTGAAAAAATAAACGCTCCTTTTAATTCTCGCTCGGGAAGAAACCGAGAAAATCTGTCTTTCATTTTTTTTTTTCTTAATCATTCGTGGGAAGAAACTGAAAGAAATTCGCAGAAATTTGGAAACCTGGTTTTTCCCGAGCCTTTCAAATTACAGGCAAGCGTCCTCCTTGCGCGTGAAAATCCGTGAAACTACTTTTGCGTAATATTATAATTGTGGACTGTTATATCGACGAGTTTCATTTGAAGACACCGCTGGTAGAATGAAGTCACGCGTACGTGACGTGACGCGGCCGTTAGCGTTAACCTATTTATATCATCGGGGGAATTCGAAAAAGTACACCAGTATCGCTGAATTTTTTTCTTCAAATCGACGTCAAGTGTAATAAGAAAGCGGATGAAAAACGCATGAATTTTGTGGCTAGCTTCGACCGCGCGCGTATATAATATCCGTTTCGTTGCGATAATAACCGGACGAACGGACACATCCGTTTCTGACGTAAAATGTACGAGTTATCACGTAGCTGGTGTGAAAAAGAATTCTCTGTTCTATATACGTCGAGTACGAGTTGATTCCCTACGAGTTAGATTGACATTAATCTCGTTAACATAGATTGTTTTACGTAAGTTTTGCTGAGTAATAAATGTAATTGATTAGCATATTAAAATTACACACTAATTCTCAAATGACGTCAGGAACAAAGTTCCCTTGTCATCCTTCGATATCATTGCGGCAGTCGTTACGTTAGCCCTTATTTTCAACTTTTCTTCTCGACCGATCTGTGGAAATTCATTTGTTTCGCCGCAATATCGTGTAATTCGTGTTTGTTCCGGTGTCTGAAATATCAAAATTTAACTAATGCAGCGAAACATTTTCAGTGATATATTTATACCGAGTTTATACACTATTTAATAAGCATTAAGTTGATTTATGGGATTTTATGGGACCGACCAGAATGAGACGAACGACGTCGAGGTAGATTCGACGTAGGACCGCGTTGAGTTAAGGGTGCAATCTGCTACATGCTTCGTAGGCTGCGAGACGTTTTTTAATATACGAAATTGATGATATCATTGCGTAACCAGAATGTCTTGAAGCGTCTAATGGATGCTCCCCTAAAAACACGGTTCGATCGATTAATTTTGTGAAAGGACGGGAGGAATGGCGCGAGTTGCGCGTGTCATGAGGTCTCCTTACAAACCCGAATATGTCGGGCAGGATTAATGTATCCGACCAATGTAGGAGGCATTATGTGGAACGTGCGTGGAGAGAATTTCACGGTAAAAATTACTGTAGAACTTTGTAACCGAACACAACGTACTTACCGAAGATATTCTGCCTTAATTTATTATCTTTCCGTTTCGTACGTGTTATTTACATTTTAGGGACCAAAGTCCACTGTGAAAAATATTATTATGTCCCTTAACAAGTTGAACTCTACTGACACACTGAGAAAAAGATTTCTTCAAATTTAATAAATTTTATTGCATCCAAACAAATTTCATCATCGGCATGCCTCGAAGAAATTAATGTTTCGATCAGTAATTACGATTGTCAGACTTTTCAACGAATATGTATCTTTATCTTAAATTAAAAAATTTGAAACAAAAGATAATTTTCTTATAAAGAAATTATCTGTTTCATTTAACATACTGTAACCAAACAATATTTTATTTGGTTAAAAGATATTATTTCAAATAATACTGTTCTTCCTGTTAAATAACAGAGTTTCCTTGAATGAGACAATAAAACTTGTACTCAAACAAATAATATTTCATATGTTGTTGTTTCTATGAAACAAGTTTTAGTGAGATAAATCGAAATACTAAATCTAAAGAAACCTTTTCCTCTGTACGGTCTATTCTTGCACTATTGTGGAAAACATGGTAAAATCAAAGAGAGTTTTATGTGAAAAGAGAAACTGTAATATTCCCTCCGTGTATATACGTGTTCTTTATCGTGTCATTCTGCAATCCGCAATCACCGAACAGGCCCGGAACCTCTTATTTTTACAATAGTTTCACAGATTATTTAAAACTAACTTTTTCGGAGCCACGTTCTCCGCACGATACCCAGCTCGCTTTTTTATTATCAAAGATAGGGATGAAAGTCGGATAACTCTCGGAGGAACCTGATATTTTACGAGCTGATACAGCTTAATAGAGGAAAACTGATAAGCGATCGCTTTTGGAAAATATGCAGGAATAATTCACGTTGTATCTCCGTGATTTCGCGAAACATTCATATTCGCAAGCCGATAGACGCGACGCTGTGCGTCAAATCGAACGTGACAGCGGCCGGGGAAGCCTCTATATCGATAAGACGCATATCGTTCTCGGGATGTCGAGGACGACGAGCGTTACACCGACGATTGCGTTGTCGTTTGTTGAGGAAGAAGGGAAACCGCCGCGCGATTTTCCCGTGTGCGTGTTTCCCCGGAGGTGGGGCGCGCACAGTTTGCACAGATGCGAAATCGATCCGAGCCGCATCTTCGACCTGAATGTAGTCGCGCCGTGTTCCTCTGCACGGTATTGCCTGCTGCCTCCCTGGTCATTCCTTTCACTTCGTTGACAAGCGGACTCGCCGGCGCGCCGGCGATTGACAGTCGTCTGCGACACGATGCTCGACGACTGCTGTTACGACTTTTCTCACGCTTATCGTTCAGCACGGGAAAGCTCTTTTTTCAACTCCGCCGGCGTACTCGTCCTTACCAGAGTCCTGTCAATTGAATCTCATTGTTCTCCAGAATGAAATTCTATCGTCACGAGATCCGCTTTCCATAAAGCTTTCTCGCTCCCTCACTCCGTAATCACGATGACTTTTTCATATTATTCTCTCTATATTATATATATATATATATATATAAAATAAGAAAGAAAATTTAGTAAAATACGGACACGATGGTGTGGCTGTATACGTGTATGTGTGTGAGTGTGCACGTTTGTTAAAGAGATAAAGAAAAAACTAATTTATCGCGCACCCGCAACCTTCGCACGTTTTCTCTCTTCGTCGACAATATGGATATTAATTGCGAGGAAAATGATCGACCGTCTGAAATGCTCGCGCGGTAAATATTAATGACAAATTTCCATTAATCTCGCGGTCGGAGGTACACATTCCTCATTATCGCATCGCGAGGCGTCATGTGCAATCGATATATACGGTGCCCGTATTAAAAGCCCGCTACCCGAGCGACGGCATGTGCATATGTATGCATGCATGCGCCTGCTAGTTACGTGCATATGCGCCACGTTGCGCGGGGTCATTGCCCGCACGTGTTCTATTCCCATCACTAATACATTCGCTGACAAGAAGCGGCAAAACGTACCGTCACGACCGGACCGGACTTTTCACGAATTCGTGTACGTGTAACGCAAATAAGAACTTGCGGGGGAATCGTGAGATATTTAAAATGCACTCGCGCGTGTGCGCGTATATTTCTTTTTTTTGGTTTGTCGTTTAACATTATTTCTTGTAGCCTTCATCGCCCGGCAATGACAAAAACTGCGACTCGCAACATGGCCGTTTTGACAATTGCGAGCAATATCGTGAAACCGAAAAAAAAATATATTTCCCGCTTCTCTATTTCAAACTGGCGCGATTGTGTGCCTCCGAGCACACGATCAATATTAATTATTCCATGTGTGATGGGAATACAGCTGTGTTTGCAGCTGAAAAGCTGAATTTTAGCGAATATAAATGTCAGTGTTCTAAAACGTAAAAGATATTTTAGAAATCGTAAAAGAAATATTCGATTACACTAGTTCTCATTGTTATAATTATATGTAATATTAGTCTCAATTATTATAAATATCACGTCGTATAAGTGAAAAGATGTTTCAAGATATATTTTATTTGATTATTATTGCCGATATATATATATATGTATATTAGGAATTGTAGGGAAAAAAGTAATCTATTACACCAGTTCTCATTGTTATAATTAAGTAGCATATTAGCCTTAATTGTTATAATGTCATATCGTAAATGAGAAAAGACATTTTTAAATCTATTTAATTAATATCACCGACTGATGCGATACATGTTGCGGTTTAAAACGATCTCAAGAAATAATTATAATCAGCTTATAATAATGATTTGCCAGTCATTCTCGTAATTATTCGCATAAATAATGAAGAGCTGCCCATTTGACGGGCAAATTCGCCGAACAAAATGACAGGATTTCGACGAAACCTCGTCGAAACACTGTCTCGATATTTCGACGGCTGTTAGCTGTGACAGTATGGCGTCAATTTCGATAAGCTGATTGCGAAATCCGAAATCCGTACTAGCCTGATTCGAGAAATAAAATGGGGAACGAGGAAGGCGATAAAATCTTGGGAAATATTGCGCAAACGTCGTTACGTAAAATCCCAGAAGAGCGAGGAGGGTGAAGTCACTATTCCATTCATGGGATTCGTTGGCCTTAATGGGGTCTCGAGGACGAGTAGGGAGGGTCGGAATCCCTTCCTACGGGAAAGGATCCGTGAAGTTGAAGGTCACGCATCCCCTCGCGAAACTACGCATCTCGGACCCAGCAATCGACGGTTGGGGGACCCTGCATCCCCCGGTGATCACGCTCGAGATTTATGTCTTAATTCTAAAGCACCACGTGGTTATTCGCCGGCCATGACGCAGCAAAAACTCTCACGTACTTTACGCTCGGCGAGTTTCACCTCGCGAC